GAGTGCAGTGGCGTGATCTCGGCTCACTGCAAGCTCCGCCTCCTGGGTTCACGCCATTCTCCTGCCTCAGCCTCCCGAGTAGCTGGGACTACAGGCGCCCGCCACCACGCCCGGCTAATTTTTTGTATTTTTTTTTAGTAGAGACGGGGTTTCACCGAGTTAGCCAGGATGGTCTCGATCTCCTGATCTTGTGATCCGCCCACCTCAGCCTCCCAAAGTTCTGGGATTACAGGCGTGAGCCACTGTGCCCGGCCAGATATAATCTTTAAGTTTGAAATTCCTTTGGGATTTTACAAGGGATGATTTAATTTACAATCTACATAGAAAGTTCCTTTAACATTACAGCCTGTATGACTGATCTTAGTTTTTTGAAAGAGTTTGGGTCTGCTCTCTGGAGAATGTTGAGGGCTACTTTTAGAACCAGCATTTGTTTTTTTAGTTCTGAGACATCCTGAAAAGTAGAATCCAGAATTTGTCACAAATTTGGGTCTAGGGAGGTTAATGTTTTACCTCCTTAAAAACTATCCTTTGGGAACACAATTCACAGTTCCTCCGTTTTTGTTGTCAATGGCCCTTCCTTTAATGGGACCTGTCCAAGGAGCCACTGAAGCACTAGGAGAAGGTTGCGCCCTTGGGAGACACTGGCCCTTGCAGGCTGGGACCAACAACCTCAGAAGTCCTAGGGCTGGCCAGAGACAGCAGATAGGGGACTAAGTAGAATCTGAGTTAGACAATGGAAGAGGGAAGGTGTAAAAATCAGGAGTTCTGGGTTTGAAATGGGCTCCAAAGTTCTCAGGTTGTGACCTCATTTTGTTTTCTTTCTCTTTTTTTTTTTTTCTTTTGAGATGGCATTTCACTCTTGTCGCCCAGGCTGGAGTGCAATGGCACAATCACAGCTCACTGCAACCTCCACCTCCTGGGTTCAAGCTATTCTCCTGCCTCAGCCTCCCGAGGAGCTGGGATTACAGGCCCGCGCCACCACGCCCAGCTAATTTTTGTATTTTTAGTAGAGATGGGGTTTCACCATGTTGGTCAGGCTGGTCTCGAACTCCCAACCTCAGGTGAACCACCCACCTCAGCCTCCCAAAGTGCTGTAATAGGCGTGAGCCACCTCACCTGACCTGTAACCTCATTTTCTATCTCCAAATCTATTTTTCTTTTTATAGCCCCGTCCTCTCAATCCAGTTACTTGGGAGTTAGCAGGCCCTTTCCCAGATCATCACATTCAAGCAGGCCCATGTCCTGTAACTCTATCTTCTTGATATGCTCAAGCTAGAACCACTACTACCCCTCAACATTCCCCAACCCCTGCCCCGGGCATAAGCATACCTTTTAGGTATATCACTTAGGTAAGAAATAGCCCCTTGGTGAGAAGAGGTATCCTTTTTCCTGGCTCTGCTGGTATTCATCCTCCAGTTGCCTCCCCTTCCTCCTCCTCCTTCCCCTCCTCCTCCTGCTTTCCCTCCTCTTCCTCCTCCTCACTCAGCTGGTATTCATCCTCCAGTTGCCACTGCCTCCTCTTCCTCCTCAATGCAGTGAAGTTTACACCATGATGTGCTATGGCCCTGCTCAAATCTTTTGCCTCCTCTCCATCGGCCCTGGGGCTGCTGCCCTGACTTGGGTCTTTGTTGCTGTCCCTCTCCGCAGCATTCTCCCAGCTGCCTCCATAATTGTCCACAATTCTGAACATTGCCAGTGCCTTCAGGACAAACTCAGACTCTCCACATGGCACCTAAGGCTCTAGTCCCTGCCAATTTCTATTTCCTTTTCTGCCTCTCCTACCTGAAACCCTTCTTCACCCGGAGTTTCCCCAGCCCCTGCCAGGAAACCCTTGTTCCCTTTCTCCTCCTGGTCTGTCTAGTCTTGCTTTTGCCCTCCTTAGGAAGTCTTCTCCGCTTGGCGGACCCTTCCGGGGGCTTCCTTCTCCCTTGGTGCTTATCACCCTCGACTGCAGTCAGGGCTGGGGACCCAGGGCACCGGAGGCACTGGTGCAGAGTGTAAGGTACTTTTAGGCTTTTAGGGGCTCCTGAAAATGTTTTATTTTAAAGTTAGATGAAAAAAAAATGTAAGAGTCAAAGAAAGTGTGCTTTTTTCTCAATCAAAAAAATAAATGCGTAGGGTCCATGAAAATATACTGAACTATTTAAAATTTTTAAAAAATAGATGAAGATACTTCATGAAGACAAAAGCACGTAAGGCCTGAGAAAGTGAGAATGTGACCCTGACTGACTGCCATTGGTTTCCCCTTCCCCCAGTGAGGTTGGGGGGGTACCCCCCTGCATTATGTGATTAAGTCTCTGCACCCCCAGCCCCGTTCTCATCACTTAGGACTGCTTTCTGAACAAGAAAAGAAGTGCATAAATAAATGAATGGCCTTGCGCAAGGCTCTTGACTCTGTCTGGATTTCTTCATCCCGACAACGAAGTTCCAGCTTCACGGGGCCGCTGCGGGGTTCAAGTAGTGAGTGGGAAACTTTCAGAATTGCCGAGGGTGCAGCCATTCCTGAGGCGCAGAATGTGGGTGGGAAGGGGAGGGCAGAGGTTGTTGAAGGTGGCTCCAGGTGGCTTCGATACCTTTCTTTTTTTTTTTTTTTTTTTTTTGAGACGGAGTCTCGCTCTGTCGCCCAGACTGGAGTGCAGTGGCGCGATCTCGGCTCACTGCAAGCTCCGCCTCCCGGGTTCACGCCATTCTCCTGCCTCAGCCTCCGGAGTAGCTGGGACTACAGGCGCCCGCCACCACGCCCGGCTAATTTCTTTTTGTATTTTTAGTAGAGACGGGGTTTCACCGTGTTATCCAGGATGGTCTCGATCTCCTGACCTCGTGATCCGCCTGCCTCGGCCTCCCAAAGTGCTGGGATTACAGGCTTGAGCCACCGCGCCCGGCCGATACCTTTCTTTTGGTAAGAAAATTACCCTCTTTATACACGCAGAGCACTGCAAGGACAGACACGAGAGTCTCACAGGGGCTGGCCCTCAGCATTGGTTCCCTGTGGGGCGAGCAACTAAACTAGAATAAAGCACGAGGGCTCTCGGTCCCGGAAGAACAGGCTTCTTTCATTTTAGGACATTAGGCTCTTTTAGCTTCTTTTCCTTTCTTTCCTTTTTTTTTTTTTTTTTTTTTTAAACCATACTACTTAGAAGAGTGTGAAGCCCAGGTCTCTGTCTCACTTCCCCTTTGTGTTCCCGGGCCTGGCACAGGTGAGGGACATAATGAATTAAGGAATCTCCCCTCTCAGGGTCCTGCGTGGCACCCATCAGCATCAGGGCCTCTGACCCCAAGTGGGTGAGAGTCAGTGCAACCCCCTCCGCCCCCGCCTGCCTGAGCGCAGGGCCTGCCGCGAAGAGAGCAGAGTTGTGAAACGGAGACTCAGTTTACCCAAGGTGGAATCTCAAGCACGTCAACATGGGGGCTGGGGAAGAGATGGGACATTTCCGCGGCGACAGAGCCCAGAGGCACTTAAGAAATCTTAGTTTTTGTCCCCTCCTCAGAAACACATTGGGGACAGGTTTCCTGTGTTCCAAGTAATTTAATTGCCATGGCTCCTGAAAGGCTGGAGCGGTTTCCTTTTCAGAGGCTGTGGGTGCCTCTGAAAAGGAAAGTCATAGGCAGTATCAGTCTTGCCCATCTTCTCCACTGCTGTGTGTCCAGCGTCTGAAAGCATGAGGGCACACAGTAGGCGGTGAGGAGCGGACGAACTGCCATCGGCGACCGCTGGGTACCTCCCCAGTGCAGGGAACAAAACCCGCCTCCAGACAAGAAGACCCTGCAGGCCTCCCGCACCCTGTAATTTGGATGTCCAGGAATCGCCTTTGTTGTGGGCGCCCAACCTCAGGCAAAGCGAGCACCTGCTCCTCCCGCCGGTCCTCGCAGGAGGACCCCAGGCTGCTGCGCTCCGGCTGCCTCTCACAGTCCCTGCGCTCCGCTTCTCGGGAGCTGGGAGCCCGGGGGCGCCGCGGGACCTGCAGCCAGGGTCCGCCCAGCGCTTCTCAGCCGTGGTAACGCGCCTCCCCAGATGTCCGACACCCCGCCCGGGGCCAGCATTCTTCGCTTCCTAGGGCCGGGACAGGGGTCTGGGGCTGCGTCAGGGGCTCGTCAGGCACCCCCAGGCCTGCGGGGGCAGGATCCTGAGTCACCGCCGCGCACGCCCTCTCCTCCCGGCTTCTAACCTGGGGCCACCTCCGCCCCGCAGGGTCGGGACCCGGCGCAGCCGGCTCTCCGCGGGTATGCTGTGCGCCCCTCTCCCCAGCCCGAGTCACTGCGGCGGCCGCCCCCACCCCTGGCTGGCTCGGGGGAGCCTCGCCTGTCCGCCCCTCCCATGAGAAGCTCGAGCTCTCAGCGCTCCCGGGCGGCTCCCGCGGGAGGGGGCGCGGCCGCCCCCACGGCTCCACCCTCTCGGCGGGGCCGCAGCCATCTGGGGCCCCTGCCAGTAGCGGCCGCTCCGGGGCCCGCACCGAGCTCGCTACCCGCTTGCGCGGCGGGAGGCAGCCCCGGGCAGGGACCCCGGCCTCCCCAGCGGGCGCTCTCGGCGCTGAGATACCCCGAGGGGGCGGTGGCCGCGAGCCGAGCCCGGGTGGAAGCGCGTCGCAGGGGACGCGGGCACCCCTCGCCACCTCGGTGACCCTTCGGGAGCCGGGACCGGAGCCCCGGAGGCGGCGGTGCGGGCCCGCGGGGGCGGCGAGGTCCGTGCCCCTAGCGTCCGGAACCGGCGCAGGCTGCTGAGCCTCGGCTGGGCTCGTCGCCTCCCGCCTTTCCCCCCAGCCCCCCGCGAGCTGGCAGGAGGAAATAGCGCGCGGCCCCTTTAAATTTACCCAGGAGCCCTTAAAGGAGCCCCAGGGGCCCCAGACAGGAATCCCCACCCCGGTCCAGCCCGCGCCGCCGAGCGAGCAGCCTGCCGTCCGTGCGGCCGGCCGCCCCGTGCATGCGCCCCGCGCCCCGGGGCCCCGCGCAGCAAGCGCTCCGCGCGGGCTGCCGCCAGCCCCGCGGCCCCGCGCCCCGCCGCCCCGGGGCCCCGCTCCGCAGCGCAGCGCATGGAGCCCGGTGGGGACCACCGGAGCCGGAGCAGCGGCGGCAGGGGCGGCCCCGGGCCAGCAGTGGCCTCGGCACGGGGCCGACGGCTGCCGCCCGCCGGATCGAGCGGCAGCGCGGAGCCGGAAGAAGACGAAGGCGGTAAGAGCTGGGGCCGGCGGCCCGGGCGGGGGCCCCGGCGTGGGGGAGGGGAGGGCTGCGGCTCGGGGCCCCTCTCCGCCGCCGAACAAAGCGGGGGACGCGGGCAGGGCGGCCGGGGGCGCCACCTGGTGGGCGCGGAGTGCGGCTGCAGGGCTGGCGGGGGAGTCCCCCGCCCAGCTACCGGGGTCGGCCCGCGGGGCTTGGGCGGCTCGCCTCCCCCTTAAAGGGCCCCGCGGCCGACCGCAGCGCCCCGCCTTGGGGGCCAGGCCCGAGGGGCCCCACTGGGCAGGGCGCCACGGAGCGAGGCTTGTGGACTTGCGGCCCCCGCCCCTTTCTCTTTCAGACTCCCAGGTTGTCTCTCTAATCGGGCTGTCTCTTAAAAGTCCATCCAGACCCTGGGTCCCCTTCGGGGGCTTTTCCCCAGCGGAGCTGAGCTCAGCTCCGAACTCTGCTGTTGTAAATCGGGCTGCTCCTCTCGTCTCGTGGCCTTGTGAGAGACATGCACCCTTTTTCTTTTCTCCCACGTTCTCCCTAGGAAAGTGCATCGCTTGCGCCCAGGGGGCTCACACCATCTTTTCCCACCGCGGGCAGTTTTTAAAGCGATGGGTTCGCCCACAAAGGCAGACAGACACCCCTCCAGCCCGTGCATTCTCCCTTCCCTTCTTTTCAGAATTTTTTTTGCCCTAATTTGTCAGCTCTAGCGGAACCAGCCAGTTTTCCTCGTTCGCTCTCAAAGGAGACTGTTTACTCATTTCCCGGCTGCAGGGTCACGCCTTAAGACCCTTGAAGGTTTCCTTCAGGCCAGGGAGACTCAGCCCGAATCTCCAGGCTCCGCTCCCGGTCTCTCCCCTCCCAGAAACGCCCCATCCCCTTTTGTTTTTAAAGAACCTCGGCTCCTCCCCCTTTTTCGGCTCTTAAAGGGCCAATCCACCTTAGGCTAGCCTGGATCCAGCGCTGGAAGAAGGATGCTTAGAGACCAGCCAGCTAGCCAGTGTCTTTGCAGACAAAGAAGCCCAGGCCCAGAGGGTGGACATGACCTATCAAAGGTCACAGAGCAAGTTACCAGTGAAGCCAGGACTTGAACCCAAGCCTATGACTCCAAAGCCAGTAGATTCTATGGATCTACTTAAATAAAAACCAAAATAAAAAAAACTTCCACAAGGGTGACAGGAGCCCTTTCTGATCCTGTCTTTTGTTTTCCCAACCCTGTGATTCTCCACCGGGAGAATGACCAGAACCTGCTTGTGTGCCCAGGAGACCATTTTTCTAAATCAAGAGGGGTGGGAACTGTAGGGAGGGTAGGGGACTGCTCTGGTGGGTGTCTGACACAGGGAACGCCATTGGGTTAGTGGGGCCTCTCCAGTGCCCGCCCTTCTGACTGCTGGGCAGTGGCCAGCTCCCTGCCAGAGCAGCAAATAAAGCCCCAGAAAGACTTAATGGGCTTCAGTGGATGGTGGCCACTCCCTGCCGCAGTGTCATTAGTTGCCACTGGTGGCCCTCCTCCTATCCCTTTTCAGGGTCATTGGCTCCTCCAGAATCTGGAGAAGTTTTGGTCTCAGAAACTCCTTTCCCTGGAGATGTTGGCAGCTTTGTCTTAGGGATCCCTCCCATCTGGGGGCCTAGATTTGGGGAACTGACAAGGCCTAGCCCATCCCCAAAATGGGACTCTCAGGAGGCTGTATTTGAAGCATTACTGGCAAAAGGGAGAAGACTTGTGGGTGGGGCCCTCCTGGCGGGGGCCCCAGGCGGGTGGGTCCCGTATGCAGCCCTGGCTGCAGACAGATGCCCCCTTTGTTTGTCTGGCCCCACTGCCTGCTCTGCTCTGGCTGGAACCGCCCTGGCCTGCTGCTCTCCCGGCTTTCTCCCTACAGCTCTTGTCCAGAAAGGGCACCTTACAGAGCTGGCTGGCTCCTTGGCCCTCACCTTATTTTTTAAAAAGTCAGAGCTAGTTCCATAGTGCCCTGCGTCCTTTTGTTCTTGATCTCCTCTTAAAGGGTCCTTGCCCTTTGTAAAGGGCTAATGTTTTGGCTCCCCGCTTCTCCTACATCCCTTTTATTGCTGTTGCCATCCCTTTCCTGCCCCGGAACACCCCCTCCCCCAGCTCCCTCTCTCAGGGCTCACCATTGAAGTCCTCGCTTCTTTCCCTGGAAATCAGAGATTGAAAAACTCTCTCCCTTTCCCCTTCAGGGCAAGATCTTCAGCTGGAAGGGGGTGCCTTGGGGTCCTGGGGGAGTGCCCCCCTGCCCTCCTCCAGGGCCAGGGGACCAACATCTTCAGGCAGGAAATACTCAGACCACTGTGAGGCCCGGGCTTCAAGGCCTGGAAAAAGCCGCATCCCTGGCCGTGACCACCGGCGCTACTACCACGACCACTGGCGGCTGGAGTACCTGATGGACTTCAACCCTGCCCGGCACGGCATGGTGTGCATGGTGTGCGGCAGCTCCCTGGCCACCCTCAAGCTCAGCACCATCAAGCGCCACATCCGCCAAAAGCACCCCTACTCCTTGCACTGGAGTCCCCGGGAGAAGGAAGTCATCAGCAACAGCTGGGATGCACACCTGGGGCTGGGGGCCTGCGGAGAGGCCGAGGGCCTGGGGGTCCAGGGGGCTGAGGAGGAGGAGGAGGAGGAAGAAGAGGACGAGGAGGAGGGGGCTGGTGTCCCCGCTTGCCCGCCCAAGGGCCCAGGTAAATGCAGATTCTGTAGAGGCGGGGGCCTGGGTGGCCAGTGGGGTGCAGTGGGTCAGCCGCTCTGCCAAGGAGCTGGTGTTCTTGAGCAAGTCACTGCTCCTTCTCTGGGTGGGGTCTGTTTATCGCCCTTATTATACAAAGGTGGGGGAAGGACAGTGGGGTGAGAGGGTCTCCGATGTCCATGACAGCTTGGATATTCTGTGGTTTTTGAATATCAAGGAGAGAGGTTGGGAGACAGGCCGTTGCAAGGCTTGGAGCGGGGAGGCCTGGCTGGGGTGGGTGAGGGAAGGGGAGGGTGCTGGAGAGGTGTGGCTGACGGTGAGGGCCAGGGACAGGGCTAAATTCCACTGTGGGGGAAGTGTGGGTGGTGCTTGAAGTGTGAGCAGAGGAGGGTTTAGGGAGGTGAAGTTAGGAGTTCAGGGGAGAGGAAGAGAAGGGCAAAGGTTAGGCCTGGGGCCCAAGTGAGAGAGTGGCTGTAGTGGGGTGCTCTGTGGGGCCAGCGTCTCAGTTCCTTCCCTCCAACCCTTTCAGGCAAAGCCCCAGCTGGTGGGGGCTGCCGGCGCCAGCGGCGAGGGGGCCCAGTGGCACCCCGGGCTCGGCGTCTTCGCCTCTCAGCCTCCCGGAGGGCCGGGGGCAGCAGGGGGCTGGGGGCCCGGCGCCTGGAGAGGAGGCTGAAGGAGTCCCTGCAGAACTGGTTCCGGGCCGAGTGTCTCATGGACTATGACCCGCGGGGGAACCGGCTGGTGTGCATGGCCTGTGGTCGGGCACTGCCCAGCCTGCACCTGGACGACATCCGTGCCCACGTGCTGGAGGTGCACCCCGGCTCCCTGGGGCTCAGCGGCCCCCAGCGCAGTGCCCTGCTGCAGGCCTGGGGGGGCCAGCCTGAGGCGCTGTCTGAGCTCACCCAGTCCCCACCAGGTGCGAGGCCCATCCCAGGCTGAGACCCCCTCATATTGGGGCTCTGAAGTGGGGTCTGGCCAAAACTGGGAGGCAGGGACTTAGGGCTGAGGGCTGAAGGCCAGGAGCTGGCGCTCCACACACATACACTCACTCCGCCCCCAGACACAGACAGACTGGGGCCTTTAGCTTGGGGCTGGGGTGAGGAGCCAGGATGGACCCCTCTGCGTGAGCAAGGGCAACCCAGCCAGCAGGCTGAGCCCCTCTCCCTCACCCCTTCCCCAACAGGCGATGACCTCGCCCCCCAGGACCTGACCGGAAAGAGCCGGGACTCGGCCTCCGCTGCTGGAGCCCCCACCTCTCAGGATCTCAGCCCCCCAGACGTAAAGGAAGAGGCTGGCTGGGTCCCTGAGAGGCCCGGGCCCGCAGAGGAGGAGGAGGAGCTGGAGGAGGGCGAGGGCCAGAGGGCGGGGGTCCCGGGCCGGTCGCCGCGGGGCCGCGCCCACCGCCGCCACCCCCAGGAGCGCTGGCGGCTGGAGTACCTCATGGAGCTGGACGGCGGCCGGCGCGGCCTGGTGTGCGGGGTGTGCGGGGGCGCGCTGGCCTCGCTCAAGATGAGCACCATCGAGCGCCACATCCGCCGGCGCCACCCGGGCTCCACGCGCCTCGGCGGGCCCGTCCAGGCCCTCATCGCCCGGGAGTGGAGCGAGAAGGCCGCCCACCTGCTGGCCCTGGGGCTGCCCCGCCCCGAGTCCCCCCGGGGCCCCGCCGCCCCGGACACAGCCGCAGTCTCCGAGGAGGGGGGAGGGGACGAGGAGGAGGAGCCAGAGGAGGAGGAGGAGTGGGGTGAGCGGTGGGGCCAGAGCAGGCGGAGAGGGAGAGCCGGGCAGGGCCCCGGCCAGGCAGGGAGCGAGGGTCGGGCGCTGTTGGGGAAGAAGGGACTGGAGGATGGGATAGAAGGGCAAAGGCGGGGTGACGGGAGATGAGACGCGGGGCCCGGCCTGTTGTCCCCCGCCGTCGCCAATGCGGCCCTTTGTCCCTCCCTAGGCGACGTTCCGCTGTCTCCTGGGGCTCCCTTGGAACGGCCCGCCGAAGAAGAGGAGGACGAAGAGGACGGCCAGGATCCCGGGGGACTCGCCTTGCCGCCGCCGCCTCCCCCGCCGCCGCCCCCGCCCCGCAGCCGGGAGCAGCGGCGGAACTACCAGCCGCGCTGGCGGGGCGAGTACCTGATGGACTACGACGGCAGCCGGCGCGGCCTGGTGTGCATGGTGTGCGGGGGCGCGCTGGCCACCCTCAAGGTGAGCACCATCAAGCGCCACATCCTGCAGGTGCACCCCTTCTCCATGGACTTCACGCCCGAGGAGCGCCAGACTATCCTGGAGGCCTACGAGGAGGCGGCGCTGCGCTGCTACGGCCACGAGGGCTTCGGGCCGCCCGCCCCGGCGCCGCGCGACGGCGGCGCGGACCTCAAGTCTGGCGCCGTGTGTCGGGCGTAGCGGCCTAGCGGGCCCACGGGTCGGGTCGGGTCGGATCGGGCTCTCCTCGCCCTGTGCTCGCCTGGACCTCCCACTTGGCAGATCCTCGCGCCAGGTGTTAGAGCTTCCCGCGGCCGCGCCCCCCGCTGGCCGGGCCGGGCGGAGACTGGGGATCGGGTGGGGCCACCGGCGTTCGCGCGGTGCCGCTTGGGTCCCTGAGCCAGTCGGTACGCTGCGGGAATGCGCACTCTCCCATCGGCCCAGAGCCCTGCCCTCCCCGCGCAGGGCCCACGTTTTCCGAGAATCCAAAACGGCCTCCAAGTGTTAGCGCCGAGCGCTCCCGGCCGCACCCCGCGAGGGAATCCTCCGCAGGCCGGGACTGGGGGCGCCGTCAGTCAGTATTGGGGCTACGCAGGCTCTGGCCCTGGCCCTGGCTGGGGGCCCAGTTCTCTGCAGCCTTGCACGCCGGCAGGCACGGCTCCCGGCTCGGGGGCTGCTGGCTGCCCTTCCCTAATTGGGATTCTCGGCCTCTCGGAGGCCCCGGCTGCGGACTGGGGCTTCCAGCGGGAGGCTGGGCCGCGGGGCTCGGGAGCCTTCCCGGGCTGGCAAGGCGCATTGGACCGAGGGCGGGGCGATGCGCCCGGGGCCCGAGCCGGACCAGCTGCGCCTACCTCCGGGGCAGGCTCAGTGGGAACCGTGCGCCTGGCGGCTCCACCCTTCTCCCGGGCCGCTGCCACGCCCTCCAGGACATCTTGTAAAGGGATTAGCACTTTTTTCCTTTGCTCCTCTTGCCCCGAGGGCCCTTGCTTACCCCTAAACTCAGAGTCGGGCGCCACCAGGTCCGGGGGAGCCCGGGGCACAGGCGGTCCCGGCAGTCAGCCTTCGATTCCCGCTCCATCCCCATCCCCCTTTGTCCGCGGTGGATGCGGCGCCGGTTCTCAACCCGCAGGGCCTGGGGCCGGGCCTCGGTCTCTTTTCCCCGTGGCAGCCCCAGGCCCTGTGGGGCAGGGAAGGGGCCCCGCGATCTCCCAGGCAGGTCCGAGAGGGATGTGTAGATTCATTCTCCCGTGGAGAACAGGTGGCCCCGAGATCAGGCCCTTTTTTGCTCTTTGTATTTTATTTTGAAACTGTATTTAATGCTTTTATATGAAAGGGGGAGGGGCGGGGACAGAGGACCCAGTCACCCTTATGTGCAAATGTCTTATTTATTATGCGTGTATCAGAGATAAGCTGTGAGAGGTGGTGGAGGGAGGACCTGAAGGAAGGAGGAGCGAGGGCAGAGGCGGGGACGGGAGGACCCCAACTAGCTGTGCTGATGTTACTCTTGCTGGGAGACCCCGGGCCCTACTGTCTGCTCTTCACAAAGCCAGGCTGCTGCAGGGACAGTTCCCTCGGTCCTAAAGTCGGGGCGGGGAGGCTAGTGGGTGGAACTTGAGGGTTAGGTCTGGAGAAAGAGATGCCCTGGCAGCGGGGGCCAGCCCCTGCTTCGGGGTGGGAAAGCAAAGGGCAAAGAGGAGGTCCCTCCTCTCACTCCTGACCCCCAGGCCAGAACCCAAGGTTCAAGTGCCTCAGGCCCAGTCCCCTTGACTCTTCCTGTTTGGGAGTTGGATTTTATACCACGGATTTTATAGCATTTTTATATAATTCAAGATTGTCAGAATTGGAAAGGGCCCTGAGATCACTAGTACCACCCTCCTCCCCTTCACAGATAGGTAAATTGGAGCCCAGGAACCCAGATGGCCATACAGCCAGGTAGGCACAGTAGAAGAACTAGAATGAAAATTCTAGCTCCCGACTCAGTGTTCTTTACCCGATACCAGGCTGCTTCCCAATTCACTGGTTATTAAAATTTATCAGGCCTGCCGAAGGATTGACATGCTGGGCACTGCAGGCCACCACAGTGGATATATGACTCCTGAAGGTGGCAAAGCCCTGCACACTGCTTTGGGATGAGCACGCTGAGCTCTGCAAGGCCTCAGCTGGAAGGCGCCGTGGGCTCGGCCTTCCTCTCCCCAGCAGAACTCGAGGCGGGGCGCTGCCACCGGGCCCAAGGCCTCCTCGGCAGGGGGCTTTGTTCTTTTTGTTGTGGAGGCCACCAGGGATTCAGGAAGATCCTGAATGGGTTGTCAGTTGACTGAAAAGTAAATTCCCAGTGAGTTTGAACCTCCAGGGTTTTGGGGACAGTATTAAAAGCTTGAGAACGGAGATTATGGATGGCACCAGGCTGTGCACTGCCATTCTTTTACTTTCCTTCATGTATTTTTTCAGATCCAGAGTATTAACACCCTCAATATTACTCTGCCTGCTCAAAAACAGTAGGTAAATTGGGGCAACCAATTTATAATCACTCAAGCCCACTGCCAAAGTTCAGATAAGCCAGGGCGGAGGAGTTAGAGGTTTTCCCCCCTCCACAGGCAGGGAGAGGCCTCAGGAGGAGAGTGGACATGTTTACTGAGACAGCCCCAAACACACCAGCTCAAAGTGTGTCTCAGAGCAGCAGCATCACCTTAGGAATCTGCCAGAAGTAAAAATTCTTGGGCCATACCCTAGGGTTACTGAATCAGAAACTTGGTTGGGGCCTAGCAGTCTGTTTTCATGAGCCCTTCACTGATCTTAATGCAGCTGAAGTGCTGGGCACCCGTGATGGGGAAGGGCTGCGGTCGTGATTCCGGTGATTTCTGCTTTGTTGGAAGTTACGGCCTCACAGGTTAGAGGCTGCAAGTTGAGTTGGCCTTCTTGCCTAGGTGTGCCTCCTTGCCTTGGGATTCTGACATGAACAGGTGAAGTCTCCATGATTTTTTTTTTTTGTTAATGGTATGCTTGCTATTATGGCCAATATGTAAATGTTACTCTGAATACATATTTATATACCATGTTACTTAGTGACATTATTCAGACATTTGTATGCGTATTTGTGAAGTTGTTTGCATCAGTCATTTAAAGAATATTTCAGCCTAAGTTTTCTAAGAGGTATGTTGAATACATTTTTAAAAGCCAGCTTAAGGGTCACAGCAGCCTTAGTTTAGGAGAAGAGCTAATCACAGGTGACCACTCAAGTTTTTTCAATGAAGACCTGATGATGTATTTAGTTCCCATTTTCCATGGTGATTGACTCAATTTAAGTGCATTGTGGCTATATGTAATTTACAGGCTGCTTTACGTTGCAGGTGGGGAAATCTCCTAGGCTGGTGTGAGGCCGATCTGGGATAAAAGACCCCCTGACCCCTCCTCATTCTAAGGTCACCACCTCTTAGAGGGTCTCTTATTTTCTTTCGGAGATCAAATGCACAGTTATGCTCTACAACTAAATTCTGCAGTCTTGGGAATCCTTACGATTATCAACTGTTAGTCACTTTTTAAAGCCCCCAAAGTGGAGTGAGGATAGGGGGAGTGGAAGCAGTGTTTGGTTCTTACTTTACCCAAACTGTGTATAAAGAATAAAGTTAGCAGAATGATGCCACAGTCATTGTGTTTTTTTTTTTTTTTTTATTAATACCACATCAATTTGCAATTTTACAGGAACCAAGATTCAAGCTCCTTAGGTGCTACTGTATTTATGTTGCACGCACAGACACGTACACAGTTTCATTAGTAATTTTTCATCTATAGGTTTTTCTTAAAAAAAAAAAAAATCCTGTGTGGCACAAAGATCTCTTCAATTATCTAAACACAGCAGCAACAAAAGAAAAACTGGATGTGGCGCTTCCACTGCAGAAGGTCTTTTGGAGGGGAAGCCCAAAAAGACAATCACTGACTTCCTGGGAGGGCAGAGGATATGGATGGAGAATGCACTTCCTACTAGGACATGAAACCAGTTAAAACACTCAAAAGGGGCTAAGAAAATAAGACGGAGTAAGGCAAGGGTACCTTTTACCCATCCAAATTCCTAACTAATTTTCCCAAAACGTGGAAAGACAATTTCCTTCCACTACTTTTTGCAGCTGCCGTACTTTGGGACTATCAAATATCATAGTCCTTTAAACTCACCAGTGCATATTCCCTCTGAACGATCATGACTGTGAGTGAGAACGTGAAGGAACTCACAGATGATTTTTCTTTCAAGTTCGCTGAATTTTCATGTTGAAGGTGAAGAAAAAAACTTACCCTCAAATGGGAATCGGAGATTTGAATCTCGGGAAAAGATCAAGAAAAAAAGGCTTTCTGTATTTCACCTCTTGAGAATGTTCCCCCCACATACTGAGATAGGATCACAATAACTCAATAACTGAGGAGCCCACATGCAGGTTATTTTTTTCTCTAACAAGTTTACAGCAGTGTACAGCAGTTACAGACATTTATTTTATCATAAGAAAAGTACAACCATATTTATTAAACTTAAGGTGAGGTGGGCAGGGGAGAGGGAGGAAAGCACATTCAGGAATGAGTTCTCAAACTAATGCTCAGAACTGGTGTCCAGTGACATAGAAACCACTTTCCCAAATGGCAGAGTCTTTCCTTCCCTGGGGATAGTGGCAGAGGGAGTGGCGGCCACCGCAGCATTCCCGTTGACTCCCTCTCAGTCCCACTTTCCATTTCTATTCTTTTTTATCAGATGGCATTCTTGGAATCAGGAATTATCACTATCACCTATAAGTTATTCATCAAGTTGAAAGTTAAATCACTAAAGAAAAGGAATACCAGGAGTAGCTGCTCACATTGTGGGGCAGGAAGATAGGATTTGAGGGCTGCCAAAAAAAAAAAAAAAAAAAAAAAAACCAAGGAAGATATCACACTCCTGTCCCCAAATAATTTTTTCATAAGTTAATCATACTTCTTAAGGGTAAAACTATAATGGATAGCTGAGTAAGACTAGTGCTGAAAACTGGATAGAAGGATCCAGAGGTGTTCTATCTTTCATTTTCTCTTCTACCTCCAATCTTTCCCCTTTCAAGCTACAGGTAAAGGCTCCACCACCATTAAGGTATTGACTTATCCTATGAATTTGATTCTTTCTTTATTCTTCTGAGTTCTAAGATAGTTCTTTTTCAGTCCATCAATTTTTGTGCTTGATATTGAGGGTTAAAGGGAAAGGATGGGAGAAAACACCAAATTAAAAAAAAAAAGCTTGGAATGCAGGCTCAAGCTGACACTGAGTATGTTCCTTCATAGTACAAGTAACGACATTATAACTATTAAATGGTGTTTTAGTAACTGTTGCATTTCTGGTTTCCATGTAGTTATTCTGCCTTTTTTTTGGCGATTCCGGGGAGTTTTGCTTGGATCCTATTGAGAAAAGGAGGGGAAAAAGAAAGAAAGTGAAAACATAAGCATTTGATCTAGGTTTTTATTTTAACTGTGATGCTAGAGGACAGTCCTGGACTTGCATAGGCAATGTGAAACGCATTCTCCCGGCTGGGCGCAGTGGCTCACGCCTGTAATCCTAGCACTTTGGGGAGCTGAGGCTGGCAGATCACGAGGTCATAAGTTGCAGACTAGCCTGGCCAATATGGTGAAACCCCGTCTCTACTAAAAAATGCAAACATTAGCTGGGCGCATTGGTATGTACCTGTAATCCTAGCTACTCCGGAGGCTGAGGCAGGTGAATCCAGGAGAATCGCTTGAACCCAGGAGGCGGAGGTTGCAGTGAGCAGAGATCGTGCCACTGCACTCCAGCCTGGGTGACGCTAGACTCCGTCTCAAAAAAAAAAAAAAAAAAAAAAAGGCCGGGGTGGTGGCTGGCTCACGCCTGTAATCCCAGCACTTTAGGAGGCTGAGGCAGGCAGATCACGAGGTCAGGAGATCAAGAACATCCTGGCTAACACAGTGAAACCCCGTCTCTACTAAAAATACAAAAAGTTAGGCCGGGCGCGGTGGCTCAAGCCTGTAATCCCTGCACTTTGGGAGGCCGAGGCAGGCGGATGACGAGGTCAGGAGATCGAGACCATCCTGGCTAACACGGTGAAACCCCGTCTCTACTAAAATACAAAAAATTAGCCGGGCGCGGTGGCGGGCGCCTGTAGTCCCAGCTACTCGGGAGGCTGAGGCAGGAGAATGGCGTGAACCCAGAAGGTGGAGCTTGCAGTGAGCCGAGATCGTGCCACTGCACTCCAGCCTGGGCAACACAGTGAGACTCCGTCTCAAAAAAAAAAAAAAGAAAAGTGTTAACAAATTCAAAGGGCTGGGTTCACAGTATTTGCTATTAATAATTCAAAATAAAAGCAGGGCTCATGCCTGTAATCTCAGCACTTTGTGAGGCCAAGGTGGGAGGATCACTTGAGGCCAGAAGTTTAAGCCTGGCCTGGCCCAGCATAGTGGGACCCCCATCTCTATAAAAAATAAAAAATTAGCCAGGGCATGGCACATGCCTGTAATGTCAGCTACTCAGGAGGTTGGGGTGGGAGGATCACTTGGGCAAGGGAGCTCAAGGCTGCAGTGAGCTTTCAGCTTGTGCCACTGCACTACAACCTGGGTGACAGAGTGAGACCCTGTCTCTAAAAAGCAAAAGAAAAAAAAAAACATATTGTCCTTTAGGTATAGGGAAAAACAAAGTACAAAGAAGAAAACTATTTGATACAGGGAGTCATAAAGATGTTTTCTATCTTTATTTTATTTCCTGATTTAATTATTAATTGGTTTTAAAAAAATGGGAACAGAGATTTGGCAATCTTAGAAAAGACAAGTTTGATCCTTAAGTTACTTATTTACTAAACTGTTGTTTCTGAGAGGGATGTGTTTGGCTTAGATGAATACATGTGAAAATAAATGAAGGTGGAGAAGCAACCAATAACTATTTTTTTTGAGACGGAGTCTCACTGTCGCCCAGGCTGGAGTGCAATGGCATGGTCTCAGCTCACTGCAACCTTGCCTCCCAGTTTCAAGCGATTCTCCCGCCTCCCCCCAGTTTCAAGCCTGCCGAGTAGCTGGGACTACAGTTGCGCGCCACCACATCCAGCTAATTTTTGTATTTTTAGTAGAGACGGGGTTTCACTATGTTGGCCAGGCTGGCCTCGAACTCCTGATCTCATGATCTGCCCGCCTCAGCCTCCCAGTGTTGAGATTACAGGCGTGAGCCACCGCGCCCAGCCTGCAACTAAGAACGTTTAAAAGCCAGTTCAAAAAGGTAGAGTAGCCTATGGTCCTTGCTACTCTAGGAGAAGCTGAGGTGGGGGGATCACCTGAGCCCAGGAGGTCGAGGCTGCACCTCACCTCAGCCTGGGTGACAGAGTGAGCCCTGTCTCCAAAAAATTCCACTGATCTTTTTTTTCCATTGATCCTCTTGTCTCAGCCTCTCCAGTAGCTGGGACTAAAGGTATGTGCTACCATGCACAGCTAATTTTTTATTCTTAGTAGAGACAAGGCTCTATTACATTGCCCAGGCTGGTCTTCAACTCCTGGGCTCAAACAATCCTCCTGTCTCGGCCTCCCAAAGCACTGGCATTACAGGTGTGAGTCAAAATGCCTGGTCTGTTGATAATTTTTAATCTAAGATACAAAGGTCCATAAGGCAGGGCCAAAACATATATAAAGGATTTTTTTTTCCTTTTTACAGAAGCAGCTACAATAATTTCTAGTAAAATGAAACTATTAACCAAGGTTTTTATCAAAATGAAAATTACTTTCCTTGGCATCAGCATTTTGTACAAGGGACTAAAGATAATTGGGGGGAAGGAAGCATACCTCATGATGATGTGGTCTTTAAATGTACTTACTTTTCAACAATTGACTTGGTCTGATCTCGGGCGATGCCAACATAGTGATCAATCTGGGTCTTTAAGGAAGGAAAATAGATTCAGTTGTGGTAACATACAGATCACCAATTTTCCTGAAGGCACTGCTCTTTTGTCTAGTTTAACCATTTTTTAAACACTACTGACTAGTCTAGAAAATGAAAATACCCAGTTTTTATAAGTTTTTTTTTCTGAGATGGAGTCTTGCTCTCACCCAGGCTGGAGTGCAGTGGCACTATCTTGCTCACGGCAAGCTCCACCTCCCGGGTTCACGCCATTCTCCTGCCTCAGCCTCCCAAGTAGCTGGGACTACAGGTGCCCGCCACCACTTTTTTGTATTTTAGTAGAGACGGGGTTTCACCATGTTAGTCAGGATGGTCTCGATCTCTGACCTCGTGATCCACACCTGCCTCGGCGTCCCAAAGTGCTGGGATTACAGGCGTGAGCCACTGTGCCTGGCCTTCTTTCTTTTTTTTTTTTTTTTTTTTTTTTTTTTAGATGGAGTTTTGCTCTTGTTGCCCAGGCTGGAGTGCAAGGGTGCAATCTCGGCTCACCGAAACTGAAACCTCCACCTCCCAGGTTTAAGCAATTCTCCTGCCTCAGCCTCCCAAGTAGCTGGGATTACAGGCATGTACCACCACACCTGGCTAATTTTTTATTTTTAGTAGAGACAGGGTTTCTTCATGTTGGTTTAGGCTGGTCTTGAACTCCCGACCTCAGGTGATCCACCTGCCTCGGCCTCCCAAAGTGCTGGGATTACATACACGAGCCACCACACCCAGCCTTAAAAGTATT